CACTCACCTCGGCCTCCCAAAGCGTGGGATTACAGGCTGAGCCACTGAGCCTGGCCGGCTGTTACTTTTTTAAGAGACAGTGTTGATGAGGATGTGGAGAAAGGGGAACCCTTGTACACTGGTAAGGGGAATATAAATTGGTACAATCATTATGGAAAACATATGGAAGTTTCCCAAAAAGTTAAAAACAGAACTACTATATGATCTACCAGTCCCACTTCTGGGTATATATCCTAAGGAACCAAATCTGAATCTTGAAGAGATGTTGTTGTGGGAAACCAAATCAGAGAGACCGTGACACCGAGGCTGGTAAGCAGGAAGCTGTGTTTATTTCCAAACACCAGCATTCAGCCCAGTGGACTCCATTCGCAAAGGGTGGGCCCTGATCGCAGTCGGGTTTCAGCTTTTATATGTTTTACATTGGCTTTGGGGGAAGGGGCTTTTCATGGTGGAAAGTTTTGTACCTTTTGTAATAACAGCAAAGATTGCGGTTTTAGGTTTCAGCTGCAGACGCTGAGCATGGTGTGGTGTGCTGTGCCAGGAAAGGTGGCACAGGAAGGGGCTCACGGCTTTAGCTGCAGGTACTGACAGGTACTGAGCACGGCGTTTTGTATTAACAAACTGGAACATTTTGACTATGATATGTGCTTAAAGCATTTTCTAAAAACCCCCTACCACAATATCTGCACTCCCATGTTTGCCACAGCAATATTCATGAGCTCCAATATATGGAAAAAAATGTCCATTAACAGATGAAAGAATAAAGAAAGTATGGTGTGTGATATAATGAAATATCATTCAGCCTTAAAAAAAGAAGAAAATCTTGTCATTTGTGACAACATGCCTGGCTCCGGAGGGCATTATGTTAAGTGAAATAAACCAGACACAGAGAGACAAACACTTCATGATCTCACTGTACACAGAACCTAGAAGAGTCAAACTCACAGAAGCGGGAAGTGGAGTGTTGGTTGCAGGGTCCGAGGGGAGGGACCGTGGGGAGGTAATGACGGAAGGGTATGAAGCTTCCGTTATGAGGTGAGTTCTAGAGATATATGACATAGTGCTTCATGGGTGTAGACTGATCCTCAGACTCATCAAGATGTGTAGATTAAACATGGGCCGGGCTCAGTGGCTCAGCCTGTAATCCCGTGCTTTGGGAGGCCGAGGTGAGTGGATTGCCTGAGCCTGAGGGTTCGAGACCTGCCTGGGCAACTTGGCGAGACCTCATCTCTACAATAAATCAAAACATTAGCCGGGCATGGTAGCACGCACCTGTAGTTGCAGCTACTTGGAAGGCTGAGGCGAAAGGATCACCAGAGTGCAGCAAGTCGAGGTTGCAGTGGCTGGGAGCAGCCACTGAACTCCAGTCTGGGTGGCAGAGTGAGACTCCAACTCAAAAAAAAAAAAAAAAACCCCAAGATTAAGTATGGACAGCTTTTTATGTGTCAATTATACCTCAATAAGTGACTTTTCTTTTTTTCAGTTGGAATCTCGTTCTGTCGCCCAGGCTGGAGTGCAATGGCACACTCACGGCCACCGCAGCCTTGACCTGCTGGGCTCAGGCAGTCCTTCCACCTCAGCCTTCCAAGAATAAGTGGCTTTTTAAAAGGTGGTAAACCAGGCCAGGTGTGGCGGCTCACATTTGTAATCCCATCCCTGAGGCAGGTTGATTGCTTGAGCCCAGGAATTCAAAACCAGCCTGGGCGACATAGCAAGACTTCGTCTCTACAAAAAGTCCATCCCCCCCAGATTTAACTGGGCATGGTGGCATGTGCCTGTACTCCCAGCTACCAGGAAGATCAAGGCAGAAGGATTCCTGGAACCCAGGAGGTCAACACTGGTGAGCCATGATTGTGCCACTTAACTCCAGTCAGGGCAGCAGTGTGACACCCTGACTAAAAATAATAATAAAAATAAAATATAAGGTGATAAACCAAATTAAACTGTGGCACATCCATATGATGGAATATTATTTAGCCATAAAAACAAGTGAAATACCAACATCCACTACAATGTAAATGAACCACAAAAACATCATGCTAAGTGACAGTAGTCAGTCGCAAGGATTACAGACGCCATTGTATAAGGTGTCTAGGTTAGGAAAATCTAGAGACAGAAAGTAGATTGGTGGTTACCTGGGGCTAGTAACTGCAAATGGGCATAGGGTTTCTTTTTGGAGTGATGAGAATCTTCTGAAATTGATCATGGTGATAGTGGGACACCACAATATACTAAAATTTACGAAATATGCTAAAACCTTTGAGATGCACACTTTAAATGTGAGAGTTGTATATGTGAATTATATCTCAATAAAGATGTTAGATAGGCCAGGCGTGGTGACTCATGCCTATAATCCAGCATTTTGGGAGGCTGAGGTGAGAGATTGCTTGAGCCCAGGAGTTTGAGACTGGCCTGGGCAACTTGGCGAGACCTCATCTCTACAACAAATCAAAAAACTAGCCAGGCGTGGTGGCGTGCGCCTGCAGTTCCAGCTACTTGAAAGACTGAGGCTGTGGTGGCCATGAGCGTGCCACTGCACTCCACCCTGGGCAACAGAGTGAGATTCCAACTAAAAAAAAAAAAGATGTTATATAAAAAAAGAAACCAAGATCTGGGTGCTTGGTGTACTCAGCGCTCCTGAGATGTCATGGCTTCTAGGCCCTCACTCTTGGTGTCTCCATCTGTATCTACAAAAAGCTAAATATGCCGGGCTCGGTGGCTCAGCCTGTAATCCCGTGCCTTTGGGAGGCTGAGGTGAGTGGATTGCCTGAGCCCGCGGGTTTGAGACCCGCCTGGGCAGCGAGACCTCATCTCTACAATAAATCAAAAAATCAGCCGGGCGTGGTAGCGCACACCTGTAGTTCCGGCTACTCGGAAGGCTGAGGTGGAAGGATCGCCGGAGCCCAGCAGGTCGAGGCTGCGGTGGCCAGGAGCGGCCACTGCACTCCAGTCTGGGCGACAGAGTGAGACTCCAACTCAAAAAAAAAAAAAAAAGAAAGAAAGAAAAGCTAAATATGACTTCATACCCATTGTGGCAGGATCCTTTACAGAGAGAGACAAGACACCGAGGTTTCTTTGCACTGGCCTAGCGGATTCACATCCAACGACTGAGCCCCAAACACAGTAGGACATTGCCTTATATTACATTTTAGCCCCTTTGTCTCCCTTCTGTGACAACCTGCATTTTTGATTGGGTATTTTATAGCACAGGGTTGTAACTGGGTTACTCAATCGCACATAGACATTGACTATGCCACGTCACTTTCTCTCTAACATTCTTTTTCTATTCTGGGAAGGCCCTTATCTCTTTATTTTAGAAAGGCCCCTGCCTCATTCCCTGAGTTGATGCTCAGGCCCTTTTAAAGCTAAAGAGCATCATCTTGGTTTAAGGACTGACATTTCCATAATATCATTACATGTGCTGCCATTTTCCTTTTGACCATGACCTTAACGAGGTTGGAGGCAGACCTTATGACTAAGAGAGCTAGACAGGGCAGAGTTAGACACATTTCCAAAATTATAAGTATGATACCTATGAGGGTTTTTAATTCCCCCCAAAGTATTGAGAACCATCCCCCAAACAATTTCTTGGGGTCCCAGCCTTTTTAGGTCTGGACTGGGACACGAGCAATTTTTCTTATCTGGTTGGTGGTTTTTTAAAATGGCCTTTTGCTCATCATTTATTTGTAAGCAGCAGTTGCTTAGGGTAAGTTTTCCATAAACAACTCCTTTAGAAGCAAGCAAGCAGTCTAAGGCTAGACGATTTTGATAAATAGCATTGTGCATCTTGGTTTGCTGTTTGGCTAAGTTGTGTCTCTGTAGTTTCATTAGTTATAATTTTTAACAACCACCTGTAATCAAATTGTGTGGTTAGCATGTAAATGGTGGTCTGATAGCCCCAAGATCCATTCTCTGTCCAGGTAGCCGGGCCATAGTATTGGATAATACATTTAGGGGGCCACTCATCATCTTTCCAGTTTCCAATTTGTAAGGCATGCCGTTTTCTTTTTTGGGTGTCCCAGTTCTCGTACACTTGGACTTTCTTTTTTTTTCTGAGTCAGAGGCTGTTTATGGACTGGGCAGCGTTCACAATATGTGGGGCTCCTGGGCGCCCTCTTGATGCCGCCAGCGCCTTGGTAACTCCATGCCCGGCCCTCCCCACAGCTGGCCATCCAGGGCTCTGGAGGACCTTCAGCCAGGATCACCCCTCTGTCCAGCGGGTGGGGATGGCCCAGGGCCAGAACCCACTGGCCAGCCTCCAAAAGACCAGCCTCCATGGCCAGGGAGAATCTCAAGAGTCTGCCCCCGCGGGCCTCGTCGCTTTCTGAGAAGGGGCCGGGAAGGGTCAAAGGACTCCATTTCCATCTCGCCTTCCACCTTCTTCTGCTTCTCATCGCGGTCTACAAATCCCACACCTCCTCTCTCCAGCAGTGCCCGCGGCACTGTGACCTGGCTGTACACAGGCGCCCTCCTCACTGCCCGCGGCTCCTCCTCCTGCAGCGAGAAAAGCTGCGCCCTGGTCAGCACGCCCAGCACATCCATGGTCCCGCTTCTCGACCTTTTTGCGAAGATCAAGTGCAGTATACTAGGACTTTCAAGTGTTCCCCTCTAGCAAGTGGGAGCAGGAAGAAGGAGGGTCGGAAAGACCCAAACACACAAGATCCTGACCAGTTTGGGGGAAGTACAGCATTGTCCTCCTAGTATGACATATACTCTCCTTTTCCCGCTAGCATCATGTCTAAGGCCATATGATATTTTTATGTCATTCTACTAGTAGCGTTTAATTGTTCAGCAAATTTTTATAGCATCTCTAGTATGATCAGTAAATCTTTGTTGATTATAATATATACATAATTGATTCAGTTTACATTTGTATTTATAGTTACCCACCAAAAGAGAGATTTAAATCCTGCAGCTATTTCGATTTCGAGCTTTGAATCTATTAGGAACTTCCCTAGGGCCTCCCATAGCACTTGGAGATATATTAGAGTCGAATGAGTCGAGTACTGGTGGTTCAGATAATGATTGTTTGATCCCTTCTTTAGAAAAGCCAATTTTTTTTTTTTTTTTTGAGTTGGAGTCTAGTCGCCCAGACTAGAGTGCAGTGGCCACTGCCGGCCACCACAGCCTCGACCTGCTGGGCTCCGGTGATCCTTCCGCCTCAGCCTTCCGAGTAGCTGGAATTACAGGCATGCGCTACCACGCCCGGCTGATTTTTTGATTTATTGTAGAGATGAGGTCTCGCTGCCCAGGCAGGTCTCGAACCCGCGGGCTCAGGCAATCCACTCACCTCAGCCTCCCAAAGGCGCGGGATTATGGGTTGAGCCACCGAGCCCGGCTGAAAAGCCAATTTTTAAAAGAATATGCTTTGGCTGTTTCCTCTACCTTATCCTCTCTTAGATTGAAAGGGCCTCTTGCTCAAACCCCTCCTCTTAAGTTTACAGTTCACCAGTTTCAACCTGGAGATTGGGTGCTGATCAAGTCCTGGAAGGAGACTGAGCTCTAATCAAGCTGGGAAGAACCCTATCAAGTGCTTCTGACAACTGAGACAGCCATAAGGATTGCTGAAATAGGGTGGACGCATCATACCCATGTCAAAAAATCACCCAAGAAAGTTACGGTACCAGAGAACACTCCCATTAAATGGAAAGTCCCTCAAACTGAATCACTGAAACTAAAATTCAAGAAAACCTAATGTATTCTTCTGTACCTTTTCTCATAGCACTGCCAATTGCATTTCTTATCATATGTATGTTTATTGCTTTTATCATTAAACGTATTTTGCATGGATCTTTTCAGTCCTGAGCATCCATGGAAACTTAGCTTACCTTAAAGGTATTACTAATTCTAATCATAGTAATAAAAAAAGCAAAGGATGATTTATTATTAATATCACAAAAACTAACTCCCCAGTAACTATTAAATTTGATGCCAGTTCTGTCCTGTCACACAAAAGTCTTCACAACCAAAAAAAAAATTATCTATGGTTGACAAATACCTTTGTCCTGATACCACTGCTGAAGAGCGTCTAAAATGTATCAAACCAAATATGGGGAGGTTGGCCCTTGTGTTAAGAATAGTATAACTTTACTTGCCCCAAATAACCCTTGCCAGGACTGATCTGGTGTCTTTTAAACCACCAATTTAAAGACTGGATAGCTCCAGTAACTTGGCGAGATCTCATCTCTACAATAAATAAAAAAAATTAGCCGGACGGGGTAGTGCACGCCTGTAGTTCCAGCTACTTGGAAGGCCGAGGCACTCCAGTCTGGGCAACAGAGTGAGACTCCAACTCAAAAAAAAAAAAAGAAAAAAGAAAAAACCCTCAAAAATAAAATTCAACTTATAAAAGGTTCTACTCATCCTAGTTGTCAACACTTACAATGTAACCTGCTGTTATTAGCAGTAACCCAACCATAGACAGAGATCCTGTGATACCTCAAAAATACAGGTTAGGAGCAGTCATATCTGGACAGAACCCTCTAGGTAAATTTTGGATAAGATTAATTACAATGCCTCCAGCATCTTCACCGTCCATCAATACTACCCCAACCCCTAGTCCAAACTCTTTACAGCTTTGGGAATTGAACCAAACTAACCCGCAAAGTAGTCCTGGCAAGGCAATGACAATAAAAGTAACAGACTTAAAACAAACTTTAGAGGTTAGAACAGTATCTTAATTCTGTCCAATTTCCTTTTCAAGTTAGGATAAATATGTCAGGAGCTTGAGAGTTTTGACTCCCAAATTCCTGATACATCCTCGTTCCTGCCCATTCTCACCCCTTACACTCCTGGTCTTCTTGAGGATTACAAGGTGGGGGAATATAGGAAAGTGGATCCCAAGGCTTTTCCCTTTCCTCTGGGGGCTTAGATTATTTTCTTTCTTTCTTTTTTTCCTTTCCACATTCCCCACTTTAAGGAGGAACATGGGAAGGGCCTGCGGTAGCCAGCAATGGGTATAGTCCTTTTTCTCAGATGAAACAGAGGATTTATTATTTGCATAAATTATTAAAGTTTGGCAAAGCCAATCTTTATTAGAACCAAATTCTGGTCAAAAGATCAAGGGCTGACATACAGTTTTTTTGTCCAGATAAAACAACAAAATTCAATCATACTCTTTTTTCCCTTCTTCTTAGTTCTAGAATCATTTTCCCAACCTTCCAACATTCGTCCCAGTGGACTGTACAGGAGAATTTTAAGGGAGTCCTTCTGACCTCCCTTCCTCGGTCTAGACTCTTTGTTACCCATTCTTGGTTACCAGGTTATTCTGTGCAATTCTGGAGTTTCCAAAAGGGTGTTCAATCTCCCGTAATGGAGATTTCTTACAGACCTTAAGACTCTGGGCCTTATCTGAAAGGCTCAATCCACCTTACTGGAGGTTTCTTGCAGATTTCAGGATCTCTCCCGACTCTACTACCATCCTAAGCCGTATAAGGTCGCCACAGACCTGTGGGTTGGGACTCTACTCTCACTTCGTCACTAGGTAGCATCTCATTCACTTGCATTCACACAAGGGTTCCAACCCACCGCCCAAGGCCCTAGAGTTAAGGTTTCATCCTCCTGTAGGACTACTCAGGCAACTCTGGGAGGTGATCAGTTTCCCCTTCTGCCTCTTAGGGGCAGGCTGTACCAAATCGAACTCGGGTTCTTACCAGTCTGATGGGCGGTGCTCCCTTGGCTGGTTCCTGGGCTTCACCAGGTTCCTTTGTGCTCCTGGGGTCCTTGCCCCAGCACGCCAGGAGGGCTAGTCCCCAATGGATCAATTGGTCTGCTGGTGCCAGGTGAGGTCACCTCTTCCAGCATCCTGGGGAGGTCTCACCCCAGCGACAAGGAAGGCGAAAACATTGTCTCTGCCTCCCAATTTCCTGGCCAATGCACCAGAGATGTGGCAGGATCGTTTACAGAGAGAGACGAGATAGCAAGGTTTCTTTGCCAGGAAGCAGTATTTATTTGTGCCGGCACCGGCTCAGCAGATTCACATCCAAAGGCTGAGCCCCAATGCAGCGGGGCATTGCCTTATGTTACATTCTAGCCGCTTTGTCTCCCTTATATGGCAATTTGCATTTTGATTGGGTCCACAGGGTTGTAACTGGGTTACTCATGTGCACTTAGACATTGACTACGCCACATCACTTTCTCTCTAACACATTCGTTTACTATTCTGAGAAGGCCCTTATCTCTTTGTTTTAGAAGGGTCCCTCCCTCACCATGTCTCCAACTCAAATCTAACACCACACGGGTCATTCAAGCTTCCCCTACTTGCTTGCTTTCAACCTCTCACTTCAACAGTGAGCAGCGTGGCTCCCTGCTCTGGCACGCACTGCAGCTAACAGTTCAGTTCTAGTATACACGTACATTGGTTTCAGAATTGTTAACCTGTACCCCTGTGTAAAACAACGTTAGCAACCAGAGTACAGTGCTTATGCACAGTTTACTTGCCTTTATTCTTACAATCCCCACTCATTTCCCAAATTAACCAGGTCATCTCTCCCCCCCCCCCGCCCCCTGCAGTCAGGTTATTTCATACATGCGTAATACAATAAGATTTTTTTTGTCAGACCCTGAATTCCATCTCCCCACCACTCAAATTATTTTTAATTTGCTTAGTTAAGGTTCGTGGGTTGTGCTATGACGTTCCACAGGTTCTGACAATTTTACAGTGTCTTGAATGTCATAATGATAGTGTTATATAGTTTATACCACCCTAAAAATCCCTGTGCTTCACCTGTTCAACTTTCCTCCTGCCCCAATCCCAAAAGCCACACGAATTTTTTACTGTATGTGTGATTTTTTCCAGAATGCCATATAAATGGAATCATGTGGCATAGATGTACCAATTTTTAAATGAACTTTATTTTTTAATAGACTTTATTTTTTAGAGCAGCTTTTTAGTGAATAGCAAAATTGAGCAGAAAGGAACGGAGCACTCCCCCACATCTGCAGCGCCTTATTATTATTATTATTATTATGCCAGGGTCTGTCTCTGTCACCCAAGTTGGAGTGTACTGGCACAATCATGGTACATCCCAGCCTCAGCCTCTGGGCTCAGGCAATCCTTCCACCTCAGCCTCCTGAGTAGCGGGACTATAGACACATGCCACCATGCCTAGTTAATTTTTGTACTTTTTGTAGAGACAAGTTCTCGCTATTTTACCCAGGCTGGTCTCAAACTCCTGGGCTCAAGTGATCCTCACACTTTGGCCTCCTGAAGTCTGGAATTGCAGGTGTGAGCTACCATGCCCAGTCCAATCTCTCCCATTGTTTTTGTTTTTTAAGGCTTGATTTTTTTTTTTAATTTATGCATTTATTTATTTATTTTGAGTCAGAGTCTCACTCTCTCATCAGGCTGGAGTGCAGTGGCACACTCACAGCCACCACAACTTCGACCTGCTGGGCTCAGGGAATCCTTCCGACTCAGCCTTCCAAGTAGCTGAAACTACAGGCATGTGCCACCATGCCTGGCTAAATTTTCTTGATTTATTGGAGTGATGAGGTCTCACCAAGTTGCTCAGGCTGGTCTCAAATGCCTGGGCTCAGGCAAT